TAATATCATAATGCAAATTAAAACATTAAAACAATATAAAACACAACAGAAGCAATAAAAACCAATATCATTAGTGTCTCCTTATTATAAAAACATTGTCCAATTCCATCGTCTAGTCATTCGGTTTCCTATGTCAGTTACTCTGCACTTGTAAACGCTTGCTCAACAACCATGTTTTAACTTTTCTCCGAAATGTTAAAAAGGAGGGAGTCGATCTGATCTCCCTAGGGAGGGCATTCCATAGCCAAGGGGCCACCACTGAGAAGGCCCTGTCTCTCTTCCCCGCCAAGTGTAATTGTGATGGTGGGATCGAGAGCAGTGCCTCCCCGGACAATATTAAGGTCCTAGATGGTTCATACAGGGGATACGTTCGGACAGATAGATTGGGCCAGAACTGTTTAGGGCTTTGTAGGCTAAAGCTAGTACTTTGAATTGTGCCTGGTAGCAGATTGGCAGCCAGTGGAGCTGGTGCAACAGAGGAGTTGTATGCTCCCTGAGTGCCGCTCCTGTTAACAATCTGGCTGCCATCCGTTGGACCATTTGAAGCTTCCAGACAGTCTTCAAAGGCAGCCCCATGTAGAGTGCATTGCAGTAGTCTATACAAGATGTAACCAGAGCATGGACTACATTGGCCAAGTCAGACTTCCCAAGTTATGGGTGCTCATCTGACCCTTTGCTTGTATGTTGGCCATTCACTGAGCGTTCAAATACTGTCCATGTAGTATGAGAATACTGTCAGGTATATGAAACATCAGAATCATAGCTAACACTGTGACTTACTGCATGTCCATGTTTTGAAGTGATTTGTCCTCCCATGCTATAATCTCATTCTCCGGGGATTGTGATGCCTATATCATGGGGATCCATAAACATCCTCTCTACTGTTGTCATCCAGCGCCAGAACCAGCTGTCCAGAGCTAATTTATTTCCTAATGCTGCAGCGATGTTAATTTATAAATTACACTGGTAATTCAAGCTATTATTAATTTCAGATGGTGTAGGGCAAGCCTAATTAAAATATGACACCAATTGCCACACATATGTACCAAGGACTACCATTTAAAATTAATAGGAATATTAAGTGTGACACTGGTCTCGGAGATGCTTTGCTCAGTAATTACAGCACCCCGGCAGTAAAAGGTTTGGGAAAAGGAGATCGAGTGATTGGGAAGGAATAAATAAAACAGCTGTGTCAGTGTTTGTATTTCTCTTCCCTCTTGCCATACTTTCACATTTCATGATCAAGCATGATGCTTCTAATTTCCAAAAATGCCAGAGGTTCTCAAATTATTCTTTGGGGACTACCTAATTCAAGAAGTCTGTAAAAGACTGCTAAACATGAATACTTAGGCTTTTTCTTTATTTTATTTTATTTTTTCCTGATGCTTGATTGATTACTGTGCTTTCTTCTGAATGAAAACTTTGCATCTAATGAAAGTCAAAGGGAGATATGACTATCTATCTGAGAGAAATAAACAGTGCCCAAAAGTTGCAGAAATGGAAGATTTGTGTCTTTTCATGACTAGAATGCTGTTGGTGTTAAGATTTAAGAACTCGATAGCTTGACCTTCTTCTTTTTTCTTTCTTTTTTTTGTCATGTCAGGAGCAACTTGAGAAACTGCAAGTTGCTTCTGGTGTGAGAGAATTGGCCGTCTGCAAGGACGTTGCCCTGGGGACGCCGGATGATTTGATGTTTTATCATCCTTGTGGGAGGCTTCTCTTATGTCCCCACATGAGGAGCTGGAGCTGATAGAGGGAGCTCATCCGCGCTCTCCCCGGATTCGAACCTGCAACTTGTCGGTCTTCAGTCCTGCTGGCACAGGGGTTTAACAAGCTCAGCAGCTCAGCGCTTTAACCACTGCGCCACCAGGGGCTCTGATTGTTTATAATAGAGATGCTATTCCCTATTTTAAGGAGCCCCCGGTGGCACAGTGGGTTAAAGCGCTGAGCTGCTGAGCTTGTTGACCAAACGGTCGCAGGTTCAATTCCGGGGAGTGGTGTGAGCTTCCGCTGTCAGCCCTAGCTTCTGCCAACCTAGCAGTTTGAAAACATGCAAATGTGAGTAGATCAATAGGTACCGCTCCGGCGGGAAGGTAACGGCGCTCCATGCAGTCATGCCGGCCACATGACCTTGGAGGTGTCTATGGACAATGCCGGCTCTTCGGCTTAGAAATGGAGATGAGCACCACACCCCAGAATCAGACATGACTGGGCTTAATGTCAGGGGACAACCTTTACCTTTTTATTCCCTATTTTAAAAGCTTGGTGTTTCTATTAGAAAAAACTGACATGTGTGTTCTATCCAATGGCCAAGTACATCAAGTTAGCCCCTATAATGAGATAGACTTCTAATCTTTTCAGTGCTCTTTTGCATGTTTTCATTACCAACGGATTATTTCACCCTAATTATATTTGAATATATGTATATCTTGCTGCTCTGGTTATATGCAAATCCTGGTTGGTTTATGCAGAATAAATTTGATGGCAGAAACTGAACTGAATTTTGACTTGGTCCAGGTTCCCAGCTTGGAAATCAATTCTTTTTGCACTCCAAATTCCAGAATCCCCAATGATGCAATGGGTTAAACCCTTGTACTGGCAGGACTGAAGGTTCTAATCTGGGGAGAGTGTAGATGAGCTTCCCCTGTCAGCTACAGCTCCCCATGAAGGGACGTGAGAGAAGCCTCCCCCAAGGATGGTAAAACATCAAAACATCTGGGCATCTCCTGGGCAACATCCTTGCAAATGGTCAGTTCTCTCATACCAGAAGTGACTTACAGTTTCTCAAGTCTCTTCTCACACACACAAAAATCCTACAATCCCAACAGCAATGGTGGCCAAAATGGAAATTTTGAGCCATGTAGTCTAAGATAGTAACTTCCAAGTTTTTGCCAGATTGTCAGAGAAGATGACAAAACCTAGAGCAAGGATTTTATATTCTGTTTCATTAATTGTGCTCTTGCAAAGAAGCACATCCATTGTATGAGAAAGTCAGAAGTGACATTAAAATATGGGTTATGTGCTTTGATGTGCAGAACAACGAGAAAAGTTTTCAGAGTGGTCCCAGAGGCCCCCAGAAGTTTTCAAGTGTACCATAAAATCTACCCATTATGCCCAAAAGATAGTTTAATACTGATATAGTCTGCCTGCTTTGTACTTTGAAAGCATGACTGCATTACAAACACAAATAGCCGGGATTGAAATAAGATTAACGTAGACCAATTTATTATCCTTCAGAACTGCTATTGTGGGGAGTGCTGACATTTCTTTTAGTGATACCCTTCACAGCATTGCAGTTTTGAGGATTATTTAGTTGCAAATGGAAAGTGCGGCAATTAAATAGGAGTGCGAACATATCTCACTCCCAGTTTCATTGTGTTTCTGCAAACTCACTTGTGTTTTCTTCCCATTTGAGTTTCATATCATGTTGTAAAAATATGTTCTCTCTTCTTGTGTGAAAATCTATACACATTTTGATAACAATTTTTTGCACATTTTCCTATTGACAGATGTATGTTTCCCTGTATTTCGCAAAGACGAACCTTATGAGCTGTGCACATTAAGTTATATATAATCTGAAATGCTACCATTAGTAGTCATATATTGAAATATATTCCAAATTGTCTCCACACACAGTTTATTTATTTATTTATTCAATTAGCAGTTTTGTATACCAGTCTTCTCACCTCCGTTCGAGGGACTCAGGCCGGTTTCCAACATCAATATTACAGACAGTCATTAAAACATCATATTCTAAATCACACTAAAACATTAAAATAGCAAAATACAATCATATAATTACAGTGGCCAGTCATAATCAAAAATTAATCGTCATCCATCCATACCACAGGATCATTTGTTGAATGCCAATCCCCAAAGCCAAGTTTTCACCTGTTTCCTGAACATTAAGATAGAAGGGGCAGTTCTGATCTCCAGTGGAAGGGAGTTCCAGAGTCGAGGGGCCACCACTGAGAAGGCCCTGTCTCTCGGCCCCACCAGCCACACCTGTGAGGCCGGTGGGATCGAGAGCAAGGCCCCTCCAGTCAATCTTAGCAATCTTGATGGTTCATAGGGGAGGATATGTTCGGACAGGTAAATTGGGCCGGAATCGTTTAGGGCTTTATAGGTTAAGACCAGCACTTTGAATTGTGCTCGGAAGCTGACTGGCAGCCAGTGGAGCTGGCGCAACAGAGGAGTAGTATGCTCCCTGTACCCTGCTCCCGTTAGTAGTCTGGCTGCCACACGTTGGACTAATTGAAGCTTCCAGGCAGTCTTCAGAGGCAACCCCACGTAGAGAGCATTGCAGTAATCTAAAACAGTCTTGCACACATTTTTGAAAACCCAGTGGCCACCATTTCTCAGTTCTAAAGTTGGGATAATATGAAACCAAGTTATGGATGCAATGTAGTATAATATCAGTATCCCATTTGTACCAATATTTAGGTAGCCTCTCTTCTTTTAAACACTGAATAATAGTAAGAAATAGAAGAAGTGCAATTACCTTACAAAGAAATATCAATTCATTCTTAAGATGGTGTGCAAACAAAATATTGGGTGGAATGTACTTAGGATGGGTCATTTGCATAATTTCAATGATTGTAAGAATGTGCTCTGAATTTGTTTTAAAGCCATAGAACAAGAGTTTGCTGTCCATGAAGAAATGTAGAATTTCTCCATTCAAAACACACAATGCTTTTGAAAGAGCCAACACGTTTGGTGCCTTCCGAACATAGATTATCAATGACAGGCTGCCAAGCTCGGCTGCCTACCACCTCATTTATAAATAATGTTTCCTTGCTCTGCATCAAGATACTCTGACAGACAAATGGAAGAGATTGTTTTAAGAATTGTATCTGGGAATCCCATCGGCATCACTGGTGGGTGAAAGATGCATGCCCAGCGTGAACATAATGTACGGTTCATATGTAGCCCACAACTCTCCAGTGTACTGCCACAGGGTATCATGCTTCTTTTCCTTTTCCTTTTCTGGTCCCTGGAAGCTGTGGGATTCTTGAGTGAAGACGAGTACCTGGAGATCACAGGCATCACCCGGGAACAGTCAGGGGAATATGAATGCAGTGCATCCAACGATGTTGCAACGCCAGTTGTGCGGAGAGTAAAAGTCACCGTGAATTGTGAGTAGTTACTCTGTTATTCTTTTCCTTTTCAGCCATTTCTGAGTCCCATGATTAGAGAGGCTGCTACTTAACTTTTTGGTAGTTTTGACCAGTGGGGGGTCGGTATCATATCAGGGAGAGCTGTTGATCTGTTCTGGATTTTAGTCCGAACTTTAAAGGAGCTGTTCAAGATGCTGAACTCTATCTGCAAAATAGCTTCCACAACTCATTTGTGTGCTGTGTGCCTTCAAGTCATTTCTGACTTATGATGACCCTAAGGCAAGTCTGTCACTGGGTTTTCATGGCAAGATTTATTCAGAGAAGGTTTGCCTGAGGCTTAGAGAATATGATTTCTCAGAATGAAGTCACCCAGTGGTTTTCCATGGCCAAGTGAAAATTCAATCCCTGACTTTCTCAACACCTTACATAGTTCTTTAAAACTTTTGGACTTAAATCCTGGGTAGATTCACCACCTCACTGATGTAGGAGCCAACAGCCACTAGAAGACACCAGTAAACATTAATTCATAAAGCTGCATTTCAATTACACCATTGGTTCAGTTGGGCTCATCTTGTGGGTTTTGACTGGCAGCAACCTACTTTTTCGGGTCTTACTGCACATGTTAAAGCTGTGCACTGGAGCCCCCGGTGACACAGTGGGTTAAACCCCTGTGCCGGCAGGACTGAAGACCGACAGGTCGCAGGTTCGAATCCGGGGAGAGGTGGATGAGCTCCCTCTATCAGCTCCAGCTCCTCATGCGGGGACATGAGAGAAGCCTCCCACAGGATGATAAAACATCAAAACATCCAGGCGTCCCCTGGGCAACATCCTTGCAGACGGCCAATTCTCTCATACCAGAAGCGACTTGCAGTTTTTCAAGTCGCTCCTGACATGATAAAAAAAAGCTGTACACTAGGGTAATTGTAGTAGGACTCAGGCTTACGTCACATGTCCATGCATGCATTTTCATCAAGGTTCAGACTGTGTTCCAGAATATGTATATCAACTTCACATTTGCAGTTCTGTATGAACATTAATATATGTTTATACATAAGCATGATTAAATCACAGATTTCCCTGTAAATCACAGAAGGCCTGAAGAGAATTGGGTCTTTGGGGATTGGAAGTCTACATTGGCCAAGTCAAGAAGGTTCCTTTTCAAATTTATATTGTCATACTAGCTGTACCCATCACACATTGCTTTGGCCAACCTTCCCTCCCTCTTTCTCTCCTTCCCTCCTTCCTTCCCTCCTTCCCTCCTTCCTTCCTTCCTTCCCTCCTTCCTTCCTTCCTTCCTTCCTTCCTTCCTTCCTTCCTTCCTTCCCCTTTCCTTCCTTCCTTCTCTCCTTCCTTCTCTCCTCCCTTCCCTCCTTTCCCTTTTTTCTTTCCTTCTCTGCTTCCTTCCTTCTCTTCTTCCCTTCCTTCCTTGCCACCTTTTCTTTCTCATCGCCTTTCTTCCTTCTCTAACTTCTTGGACTGCAACTCTCAGCAGTCTTCCTGATCAATCTATCTGCCTACCTACCTATCTATCTCTATCTAATCTACCTATCTGGATGATTGCTTGGAGTTGCAGTCCAAGAATAGGGAATTGGAAATATGCAGGGATTGGGGTGCTCTCAAAGAAATCCAAGGAGAAGGAAGCTTGCAGCTTGGAAGCAGTGCATTTGGATCATCCTCCTCTCCTAAAGGGCCTGGTCTAGGGGATGCTGGTAGTTGTAGTCTGGAAGAGAGTGTGGATATCATATTGTGTGTTTTGTTTGTTAGAGGGAGTCATTTTTACACATGCGCTGTAGCGTCTTTTTGCTTTTTTGGGGGGGCTTTTTAAGTCCCTTCCATTGTGTTTTTCAGTGTTTTATGAATGATGGTCACTTTTTGGCCTGATAGGTGTATTGTGTCCAAATTTGGTGTCAATTCATCCAGTAGTTTTTGAGTTATGTTAATCCCACAAACAAACATTACATGTATTGTCGAAGGCGTTCATGGCAGGAATCACTGGGTTGTTGTAGGTTTTTCTGCTATATGGCCATGTTCTAGAGGCATTTCTCCTGACGTTTCGCCTGCATCTATGGCAAGCATCCTCAGAGGTAGTGAGGTCTGTTGGAACTAGGAAAAAGGGTTTATATATCTGTGGAATGACCAGAGTGGGACAAAGGACTCTTGTCTGCTGGAGCTAGGTGTGAATGTTTCAACTGACCACCTTGATTAGCATTTGATGGCCTGGCAGTGCCATGTTGGACTACACAGAGAAGCCATTGAAATCCACAAGCATGTGGACAATTTCAACAGAAAGGAAGAAACCATGAAAATGAACAAAATCTGGCTACCAGTATTAAAAAACTCAAAAATTACAACAGCAAAACAACAGAGAGTAAACAATCAGGCACATCAAATCACCTCTCAACAAAAAATTCCCCCAGGCACTTCCAAGCCATTAAATGCTGGTCAGTTGAAGGAGGTCAGTTGAAACAAGGTGGTCAGTTGGAGGTGGTCAGTTGACGCTGGTCAAGGTGGTCAGTTGAAACATTCACACTTAGCTCCAGCAGACAAAAGTCCTTTGTCCCACCCTGGCCATTCCACAGATATATAAACCCATTTTCCTACTTCCAACAGACCTCACTACCTCTGAGGATGCCTGCCATAGATGCAGGCGAAACATCAGGAGAAAATGCCTCTAGAACATGGCCATATAGCCCGGAAAAACCCACAACAACCCAAACATTACATGTCTATTTATATAGGGGTTTTTTTTAGTATCAGGGTATTGCTTTTCTCCACCAAATGACAACGCAAAGCACTCTGTTTGGGAACATGGAGGGAAAATATTGAAGAAACTGCACAGAAAAGGGACTATTCCTGGGTCACAGAGATAAACATGCAAATGTTCCTTCTTGGACAGATCCGCCATACATCTCAGATACTAAGAATACTGGGGTGCCAGTGGGACAGAAGGGCATCCTCCAATGTGAAGCATCTGCCGTTCCATCAGCAGAGTTCCAGTGGTACAAAGATGACAAAAGGTATGTGGCTCAATCGTACCTGACTTTAGGATTCTATTTTTTGCCCACATTGCCAGAATCTGTGCATCCCATAACAACTTTGCTATCATTTTGCTACAAAGACAACTGGAATACTAGAATGGGATTACAGCAGTACATGTCTCTGTGATTGAGTACATATAGAGAAGGGGGATTGAAAGAACTGTTTCTTGGTTGTGATTTAAAATGCGGGCACAAAGGGATCAATTTCCTTGCTTGTATCTGTCTGAAAAGCAGGCCTTCTTTTATCCCTAGAAGCTCTCCTTGAGAATCCTGTTTTCCCAGGATCCTCAGTGAGATCTTCCATAAATAAGGAAGGCTATTATTTGCAAATGTGCGCCTTACATTCCCCCCTTGCTTTTCTTTTTCTACCTGCATTTTCTTGATTGCTTTTTTTCTCCATCTACCCTTGCTCTGCCATTGTCTGACACTATCAATATTTATATTGCAATAAGGATGTGATTCTGTGCTAATATTATCCTTGAAAGATGCAATGACTAATTTTACCCATTTTCGTCTTGTTGTAAGTCTTTAACATTTCAGTTTTCAAGGGCTGTTTAGGGCTTGTGGTGCATTCTGAACAAATTGCATGTTTTCTGCATAAGAAAAGAAATTTCTATAGAACTACAGCAGCAAATGCCGTCATTAGGGACTTATTCTGGACATAAGTTGTATGCAGAAAACACAGCATTTTCTGTGCAGATAATAGCATTCATCAATTGAATGAAAATTATACCTGCACATTTTCTTCTGAGTAAGTGCCAAACTGAGAACAGTCAATAAAACTGAGCCAATAATATGCATTATAAGCCTAAATACACAAAAACTAACCACAAAGGCTAACCGGTGCACCATTAACAAGCCACCTCAATGAGTTTATAAAAAGCCTGGGGTCAAACTAATGGGTTTACTTGCCTCCTGGCTTCCTTAGGGAAAAAGTGCCAAAGTCTACTTAAAGCCATCGACAAAGTTATCTCTCTTGTTCCCACAAAATGAGCCCGAGAAGTTGGTGGGACATTTCTGTTGGGAATTTCAATGTTCTAATGGGCACACGGAGGGAGAAACTGTCCTTCAAATAACCTGGACTCAAACCGCATAATGCTTTCATGTCTCTTTGTCTCCAGGCACAAAACTAGATCTGCTGTCTGACAGAGTGAAATAACAGCAGTTGATATAAAGCAGCATGGTGACAAGTCTCCTTACAGTAGTTGTCCTCTTGAGAGGCCATCATTGAAGCACCAATGCTTGCAACTTCATGGCATGAATCAGTTTCCTGCCTGATTCACCAAGTCACCTTTTTTTCACTGCATCACAGGCCATGCCCTCAGGCAGGGTCTTGAGAAGTTACTTTCATGAATGCCAGTGCCCTGGCTTAGCGATCAGGTGGAGAGGTAGCCAGCCGGGGATGCACACTCGAAAAGTCATTGTGCTCGTGGATGTCATACTCATACTCACAGATAGAAAGCCTAGCAATATTAATTTGTAGGAATCATGACTATGGCATTCAGATTTACTTACTTTAGCGATCCCTCATTGTTCAAGTAGGATAGTCTTCCAAGATCAGTGTACTGGCGGTGGGTCCGTAGGTGACTGTGGAGCCCTATTCTTGATCTGCATGGTTTCCAATGCCCTCACTGTGGTCCCTGGTCGGGGTTGGCTTGACATACCTTCTTCTTGGCACATTTATCTCCTTCACCCTCCATTCGTGCCTCTTCAAATTCTACAGCACTTATGGTCACAGCTGACCTCCAGCTGGAACACTCAAGGGCCAGGGCTTCCCAGTTCTTAATATCTATGCCAGAGTTTTTAAGGTTGGCTTTGAGCCCATCTTTAAATCTCTTTTCCTGTCCACCAACATTCCTTTTTACATTCATGAGTTCAGAGTAGAGCAACTGCTTTGGGAGACGGTGGACGGGCATCCGGACAATGTGGCCAGTCCAGCGGAGTTGATGGTGGATGACCATCGCTTCAGTGCTGGTGGTCTTTGCATCTTCCAGCCCACTGACATTTGACCACTTGTCTTCCCAAGAGATTTGCAGGATTTTTCGGAGGCAGCGCTGATTCAGATTTAGCTCATCAGCTTTTCTGGGACACCTGGGTGGGTCCTGTAGGAAACGGACACTGGTCACAGAATGCTTCTCATGGCTGTCCCTGTGTATCAGTTGGTTTTGGGCTCTTCCATTTCTGTGAGTGAGCTTTCACAACATCTTTCTCTCTCAAGATCACTTTTTCCTCTTCCTTCCTCCTTCCCTCTCCCCATTTCCTTTGTATTTGAAGGTGAAACTCTAGTGTTCACTGTGTGATTTCTTGATAATTAACTGACCCCAAGCACCTTGGCACAGTTATTTTTGAAGCCTTTATCAGTGGAGTGGGCAGATCAAAGGAATTTCTTAAAGACAGCTGGCCAAGGAATCTTCTGCCTTGAGCTGTTTGTTTGGCACATGTTGCAAGATGGAGAACGAAATATGATGATGGTGACGACAATTTTTGTTGTCTGTATACTTTATCAACAAATATTATCAATTTAGAAAATAGCATTTGGTGTGTAAGTGTACAAGACAAAACTACCAACTATTTATTTATCATGTCAGGAGTGAACCAAAATGGTTGTATTGCATTAAAAACAAACAAACAAACAAACAAACAAAACACAATGTTTGCAGACTTGGTATTCTATTAAATGTCCATTGACCAGTAGTTGGCCACTTGGAGTGCCTCTGGTGTTGCAAGAAGGTCCTCCATTGTGCATGTGGCAGGGCTCAGGTTGCCTTGCAGTAGGTGGTCTGTGGTTTGCTCTTCTCCACACTCTCGTGTCATGGATTCCACTTTGCAGCCCCATTTCTTCAGGTTGGCTCTGCATCCTGTGGTGCCAGAGCGCAGTCTGTTCAGTGCCTTCCAAGTCACCCAGTTTTCTGTGTGCCCAGGAGGGAGTCTCTCATTTGGTACCAGCCATTGATTGAGGTTCTGGGTTTGAGCCTGCCACTTTTGGACTCTCGCTTGCTGAGGTGTTCCAGAGAGAAAACTATTTCGTAGAAAACTATTTCTTGATTTAAGTTGTTGGCGTGCTGGCTGATGCCCAAACAGGGGGTGGGCCAGAGATGTCACTGCTTTGGTCCATTCACTATTTGTTGCTACTCCCCAGTGGGTGTCAGGTGGTGCAATGCTGGTTAAACAGTGTAATTTCTCCAGTGGTGTATGGCGCAGACACCCCGTGATAACTACCAATTAATACAACATAATAAACTCAACTAAAACATACATAACATTAAACCAAAAGTGTGTGGGGACTGATCTTACAGCTTTCCAGCTAATGATTATAAGTACTAAAACATCTTACTTCCTATACATTAATTGTTAGGCGAATTTCTACAGATGACTTACCCCTACTGTTCTTCAAATCCCAATATTAATATCCTCTTCCTACATCCATTAAGCTCGTTCTTATCTTTCTAAGCCAGTATAATGCATCAAAGTAGCTTCTCAAGATGACAATAAATTCAGAACTTTTAACATACTCATAAACTCTTACTAAAAAAATAATCTTATTGACAAAGTAGCTATCTCTCTCACAATCTATATTCAGCAACATGGCTTCATACATTAAATATTACAATTGTAAAATGTTCAGATCTTTTCAAAAAACAGTAACCCTGCATATTTGTTTAAATCATGTCAAATTCAGCCCATCAATCTATTATAATTACTTCTACCTCACATTCACTTTCTTCCCAAATTGGAGAAGGAACCCAGGAAGCCCAAATAGCAGAAGTGCCTCTCGTGAGACCAGCAATAGATAAATGGCCTGAATAACCACTTCCAGTATATGTTTTCCGTGAAACCTCTTCATAAAGTGATCCTGTGGACACAGAAAATTACATCAGGTTTGTCCCCAAGTGGGAGCTCAAATTTAGTTAGGTTGATCAAATGCAGTAAATTATAGGCAGCAATGCAATTTATAGAACACCAAGGCAGTACTTGATAACTACTTTATCTTTCATTTTGAACTGATGACCATTCTTTTCCTTTGTCTTATATATAAAATGTCTCTTGTAATTCAGGCTCATTGAAGGACAGAAAGGGTTGAAAGTTGAAAACAAGGCCTTCTTCTCCCGCTTGACTTTCTTCAACGTCTCTGAGCAGGACTATGGGAATTATACTTGTGTGGCTTACAACCAACTAGGAAACACTAATGCCAGCATTATTCTGTACGGTAAGTAAGGCACAGGATTATGCACTGACTTGTCATTAAGGTTATGAGCCTTTGGGGAAGGGTTTGTATGGGTGCGTGGGAGACGAAAAAAGTCGGAAGATGGAAACATGTGAAAGCTCTGCTGATTAAAAACTGAAGAAATGCAAAATCGGTGGCAATAAGTGTAGCATCACTAACAGGAGACTAGATCACCTCAGTATCCTGTTCTTGAGTTGCCTCTCATCCAGCACCTCATTTTTGCTACTCATTTCCATTGCAAAAGAAAAATGTCATGGTATTGTGACCTCAAGTTTTCAGCAACATCCAACATGTCGGGCTTCCTACAAATGCTGTTCTCAGATATCCATTAAACAAGAATGTCATTGTGGCTAGGGCATGTCATAATGGTTTAATGGGGAAGAAACCATTATTAGGTGGGATGAAATCAGACCAGAAGCTAAGGACTTCATCACATGCAATAAAATTGGCATTTCTAACCACTTAAGAATAGGCAACCTAATGAATCCATCACATGACACAAGCTTCGATGGCGACGAGGAGGAAGAGGAAGGTAAAGAGGGTGAGGAGGGAAGAAGACCACCCCCTCACCCTCTTTACCTTCCTCTTCCTTGCTACCACCGGGGCCTCTTGCTGCTAAGTGGCAGAAGGAGGCCCCAGCAGTGATGAGGAGGTGGAAGAGGAAAGTAAAGAGGGCAAGGAGGGAAGAAGAGCTGCCCCCTCACCCTCTTTACCGTCCTCTTCCTCCTCCTCCTCGCTGCCTGGGCCTCTTGCCACTGCTTGGGTCCCGCGATTGAGGAGTCGGAGGAGGCACGGGGCCCAAGCGGCAGCAAGAGGCCCAAGCGGCAATGAGGAGGAGGAAGAGGAAGGTAAAGAGGGTGAGGGGGTGGCTCTTCTTCCCTCCTCGCTACAGTGTTCCCTTGTTATGTGTGCATATGTGTGTGTATATACGTGAAATAGTGAGTCCGTGAAAAGTGAACCACGAAGTAGCGAGGGAACACTGTACCAGGTATTTCGCCATAGTATAGCATCCTTTCTTCCATCATAATCTTTTATTAACAATGCCTAATGCTCCTTCAGGTGGTGTGTCTCTCACTGAAATAAATGTTTCAAAGGGGTGCCTTAATTCAGCTTCATTGGAATGTCTTGAGGGCAAACAACCCCAGAAAAAGTTGTTCCCTAAGACTTGGTCCTTATTTCTGTTGTAGTTGAAGGATTTTGAGGGAAAGGTTCAGGAGAGGAGACAGTGGAAGAAGACAAGGCAAATCAAATGGATAAATCTTAAAGAAAGTGGAAAAAAAATGATTATTTGTGATGGATTTAGGAAAATCTTCCATTTAATTTCAAAATGGGGTGTAGCTAAGCTTTAGGGAGAACCAACTCTCCCAAATGCTTAACTTATCCTGTGGGGTGAAGTCCTTAACCCCTTTTCCCTGTTCTGTTTCTTCCATGATATCACCCATTGTACTTCACACATATAGTAACATAGAATCATAGAGTTGGAAGAGACCTCATGGGCCATCCAGTTCAACTCCCTGCCAAAAAGCAGGAAAATTACATTGAAAGCACCCTGACAGATGGCCATCTAGCCTCTGCTTAAAAGCTTCCAAAGAAGGAGCTTCCACCACACTCTGGGGCAGAGAGTTCCACTGCTGAACAGCTCTCACAGTTAGGAAGTTCTTCCTAATGTCCAGGTGGAATCTCCTTTCCTGTAGTTTGAAGCCATTGTTCCATTGTGTCCAATTTTCCAGGGCAGCAGAAAACAAGCTTGCTCCCTCCTCCCTCTAACTTCCCCTCACATATTTATACATGGCCATCATGTCTCCTCTCAGGCTTCTCTTCTGAAGTGGTAGGATCCTTAGGGGCAAGTGACCATGTGCTCCTGCAATTTGAGGTACAAAGAAAGGTCGAAACNACAATTTCATGGTCCAGAAGGTAGAAGAGGCAACAAGGGGATTGGCTACTTTTGATCTCATCCTAACAAATGTGGAGGACCTGATCGATGCGGTTGAAGTGGTAGGATCCTTAGGGGCAAATGACCATGTGCTCCTGCAATTTGAGGTACAAAGGAAGGCCGAAACTAAGACAAGTCAAACCCGCATTTTGGACTTTAGGAGAGCTGATTTCCAAAAAATGAAGGAAACACTGAGCAGAATTCCGTGGACACAGATACTAAAAGATAAGAGAGTTACTGATGGATGGGAGTTTCTCAAGAGTGAAATACTCAAGGCGCAGTTGCAAACTGTGCCAACAAAAAGAAAAAATAGGACAAGTGCAAAGAAGCCAGAATGGATGTCCAAAGAACTTCTAACTGTGCTGAGACACAAAAGAGACATGCACAAGAAGTGGAAAAAGGGAGAAATCACCAAAGAAGAATTCAAACAAATAGCCAACACCTGTAGGGAAAAGGTCCGCAAGGCTAAAGCACAAAACGAGCTCAGGCTTGCGAGGGACATTAAAAACAATAAAAAGGGCTTCTTTTCTTATGTCAGTAGAAAAAGGAAAAACAAGGAGGCGATAGGGCCTCTTCGAGGAGAAGATGGGGCAATGCTGATAGGGGATAGGGAAAAGGCAGAACTACTTAATACCTTCTTTGCCTCAGTCTTCTCATAAAAAGAAAGTCATCTTCAACCTCAGCAAGACAGAGTGGATGAGGGATTTGAGGACATCCAACTCCAAATTGGGAAACAAGTCGTACAGGAATACCTGGCTGCTCTAAATGAGTTCAAGTCCCCAGGGCCAGATCAACTACACCCAAGTGTATTGAAGGAACTAGCGGAAGTCATTTCGGAACCATTGGCAACCATCTTTGAGAGTTCTTGGAGAACGGGAGAAGTTCCAGCAGATTGGAGGAGGGCCAATGTGGTCCCAATCTTCAAGAAGGGAAAAAAGGATGACCCAAACAACTACCGTCCGGTCAGCCTCACATCAATATCAGGCAAGATTCTGGAAAAGATTGTTAAGGAAGTGGTCTGCAAACACTTAGAAACAAATGCGGTCATTGCTAATAGTCAACATGGATTTATCAAAAACAAGTCATGCCAGACTCATCTGATCTCTTTTTTCGGTAGAGTTACAAGCTGGGTAGATGCGGGGAATGCCGTGGATGTAACGTACCTGGATTTCAGTAAGGCCTTTGACAAGGTCCCCCATGGCCTTCTGGCAA